GTTGATTGGAAGGATTTGAATACGTTTTCTAGTGTAAAATTTTTAATTCGCAAAACATGAGATCAAATAAGAGTACCATTGGAGTCATCTGCTTCCTCCGATACGTAGCCAACTTTTGCATTTCGTCCCTACAATTAGGATGACATAGCGAAGTATGATTTATAACTTTCTTTAAGACCCGCGAAGTGGGGAACAGTTGAGATGTCTGTACTAGGCTTTTTCTATAACTCTTGTCTAACTTTTGGATTTTTCCCGGAAGTGATAAGACAATTGAGAGTATAAATCTTGACTTTATTTTAGTTGCTAACCTCTGACGAGCGAGAAGGCCGGAGCGTTAGTTTAATAGAGGATTTTCTCCCCTTTTAGTCACGCAAGGAAGTAATCTTTTATGCCAAAATTTATTAAAGGTCGAATATGGTGTATCATCTCTGAACGAAACCTTGCTTTTGAAGTAACAAGTGAGGTTCAAAAAATGTCATTTGACGGAGCCGGGTTGGGTCGTGCCGATGCCGAGCGAGACCGTCCCATATCGCTAAACTTCGACTTTGTTCTTGTAGCAGTGACCCAAATGTGCAAGGTACGAGATGGCTCGGATTTTGACAGTCCGGGGCAAATCCATCTCCTACACTGGTATAGGAGAAGTGCTTGAGTAGAATGCTAGTGAATCTTATCAGATTAATACCTTACATATCACTTACCGTAAGGTCGAACTTATCCCTTTCTAATTTAAGCGGATATGATACTTTGATACTTTTAACAACTTCAAGAACTAATATATATTGTATAGCAGTTATTTTATTTGAGCACACTTTTGTGAAGGATTGTGACAATTATTCTATCCATTTCTTTTCCAGTAAGGCTTGCACCCTTAGCCCTTAGGGGTCAAACTTCCTCAATTGTAATTAGTGCATGAACTTGTGGTTCCCTGAAAAACTGTGAACTTTTGCTTTTCTTTCAAGAAAAGGGGCGACTAAATTTACAATGCGAAAACGCGCTCTTTTCTTACCTCCGAAATTTTTTTTCGACATGTAGTATAGCGACTGGCAAACTGAGCTGTAACCCTGGTTTTTATTATTTTACTTTGCCTGTCTATTATTTACTCA